GACCTGTTTCTTTGCAAGTACTTAGTCATAGCTCAATCTCTGGTCGGGCAAAACCGGAATTTTGAACCAGGATCCAGGTTGCCGCTCAGCTCACCAATCTACTCTGTCAGTTGAAACCAGGCACGTGAGTACCGTCCACCGACTGCAGAACGGTGTAAGAGCGTACCGTCTTGTCTTGGAATTCTGTCCTAGAGACTTAACGGGCGGTCGCGAAACAATGATCAGGCGCTTTTGGTTAGGATATAGAGCCAAAGCGCTAGAGGAGACAACCTCGAACACAATCCGTGCGGCTGTTGGGGACCCGCTCGTATCCAAAGTTCCCAAGTCACCTCAATGAATTTCATGTCCGATAACTTAGGACCACCGAAAAAGACACGAAAGGCACACGGGCCCAGACTGTTAGCATGGAACAAAAAAGAGCATACATCCGCAGTCAGTTCTATAACCTGTCTCGGTGATGTATGACAGCCAGCAGTAGAGGCCAGTGAACTCCTTTTTTATTGGAATTGCGTACACCCATTCTTTAAATCAATGCATGCCGCGTACTACCTACAATTTCGAACACGAACTCTTTGGTGGTTCAGCATACCCTATTATAGCATGTCAGAAAATTCTTCGAAAGGGCAGTTTTCCGACGTACTGGAGAATTAGCACTCGAGCACGGATATCCTGGCTGATGGGGACTCATCATAAACGTCTTCGATTTTCCTACAGCATTGTCACTGAAGGTCAGAAAAGTAACGATGCAAGGCACCCGAAAGGACAGAGGAGGATAATTGTAGTTCGAAAAGGTGAAAACCCGAAGTAAGCATTCTGTTTAGAAAAAAAAGGAACATCCCCTGGCCTACTACATTAGCTATCAGTCTTTTTTTTTCAAATAAAGGCAAGAGACCTACGACTATAGTACTGGCTTCTAATTAAGGGCTTCATTGGATTTCAGAGAAAGAAGGAGGCAACAGCAAACTTTGCTTAGAGGCGTAAGCTCGCGTTGAAGGCCTTGATGCAGTATGGCTCTATTAACCTTAAAGTGACCGACTCTAAGAAAAAGTGCACACGTTGCTGCACTGCCTAACCACTAGCTAGCTCTGCTGGTAAATTCTATCTTATTAGTAACCAGAATTTGCTCAAAAGGCAGTCAGAAAAGCGAAGGATGTCTGTGTCCTTCCCGACGGAAATACGGAACCCACAGCTAAATAGGCAAATGGCTAAAAAGGACAAATGAAGGCACGGCAAGCTTCACTAGTCCATCGAGAAGAAAGCCTGCAGCCCTGGAGAGAACGGAAAAGCCACGAGGTAGATAACTGACTGCAAGCTATTGTGCGCTGTCAGACCCGTAGATTCGAGTTCAAACGATCAGTCTACGTGACCTTATTCGACTCTTGGTGCACCAGAAGAAAATTCATCCGGTCCAGCATTGTGTGTAACGTCCAGGCAAGTTTAAAGTCCGGCTAACACAATTGTGAAAAAAGAACATCCTTGACCGAATCCCGGCGAATTTGAGCTAGGCATCGTTCTGGATATGCAATATTAACTACCCGCTGATGGGCCACGTAACCCTAAAAAGCACATCCAACAAAGTGAATGCTATAAAATACCGGAAGTGCAGATATTACGTAGATTGCCTAGTCTATCAGAAGCAGAGGCTGTCGAAACCGCGAGTAGCACACAGTGAAAATCTGGACCAGGCATCTTGGTGACAAGAAAAATTTCCTAAACCAGCATCACTGACCAACTAAACCGTGGACTTCGGAGACGTGACGACAGCAAACAACTCGTATGAACAAAAGGAAGTTTAAATGGTACGAGGAAGAACTGCAGAAAAACTGTGACGAGAACGCATGGAGAATTTCACACTCACAGAAACAAGTTGAACTCAGATTTGTCAACCACCGTCAGGTTACCCAGGTGACAATGGGAAAAGTAGAAAGCGTGCAATGAAAAACCACAGAAAGCGAGGTATTCGGAGCTCGAAAGGGAAAAAATGGCCCCTCAGGCATATTCCAGACAGCAAGTAGGTTGTCTTCAACTACACCCAGTACACAAAACGTAGCACTGCATCTACTGCAATGAAACTTGGATTATCCAAGCCCACGGCTTCCTAAGGCGGGTGGATGGAAGGACTGGCAGAAAATGTCGGCAAACGTAATTTCCGATAGTCAGCACTGCACGATAACTGACTGACAAATAGTTGTGACAATGGAACCAGCGTTCACAATTTCCATAAAAAGCACTTGACGCAAGCCTAGTCAAGAGCCCAAGCAACCCAATGACAGAGAAGAACCGAAGCGTACGGAGAAGAATGGGACGCCAAGATAAGGCCGTACTCTGGACACTAAAGTATAAACGCACGTAAGCAACCAGGATCGCGCAGTGTAATTAAGGAAATAAGCTAGGTAGATCCTCAATAAACTTCGCGACTGACTCACCTTTGCAGGGCCTTCAGACGAACTCCACAAATCAAGTCTTTGTTCAGGAAAGGCAAGTGCGTTTGGTGTATATCGGGCACTAGAAGCGCGAACGACAGCTTTGTCATGTGGTATGTCATCCGTACCATCAATGCTGCCTGCTTGGATGGGATTATAATACCCTCTTTCCACCACGAATGGACACCAATTGGACATGGAAAATCTCCGATTACGCTGTCAGAAGAGCATTTTAGTAAACACTAGGTAGGCAACGACGCACAGATCCAGCAATTTGTGTATTTATCAGGCAACAATTTATTCACAAAGCGCTCACAAGAGATTCCAATAGTCATAAAAACAGCCCTAACACTCGAAATGTTCAAAAACAAATAAGACAACCAATGCGGCGGACTGATATAACATACATGTCACTGCCTGTTCGTGACACGACAATAGTAACCGGCTATGTACAGTCGACAGTTTCGTAGCCAAGGTAGAGTAGGATCGATGAAAGCTCACAGGAACTTCAAGGTTGTGCGGCGGATAATTTACATGGTTTAAGTAAGCCTCAAATCGGCTACAGCAACGTTGATGAAGGCTGTGTGTCTGAAGATGAAACGGCGGTGTCGAGGTTGAGGGAAAAGATCACCAAATGATATGCAGGCAAATATTAATGTTGCGGTGGTCCAGGGCGTTGGTGATGCATAACCGAACCAGCAGATCCCATCACCATTGGTGGAGACCCATGAAGACCCGAGCCCATGTTGGCTCCTTGCATAGGTGCATTACCCGGGACACCCCCGCAGCCAGAATTATTGCCAACAGAGCCGTGTTGAGCAAGAAGGGCGGCCATCGCTGTCAAGTAGTGCGGTGAGTAGAACTGAGCGAACTGACCACCCGAATGAGGGTACTGCGCAGTGTGCTGTTGTTGTTGTTGCTGCTGCTGTTGCTGCGACTGATTTTGAGATCCGGTCATGTTTGTAGGACATGCACCAGATTGCTGCAACTTTCCACTCATCGACAAGTCTGCAGTTGGTTGTCCTGGTTGAGAAGCGTAGACGCCTTGCTGATTTCCACCATGTTTATAGCCTACTAAAGTAAAAGACTTCGATTAAATTTCAAAGGGACCGAACCGGGAAGAGCAATGAAATCAGCAACACATAAAACTTCAAAAAAAAACAAGATTTCAGAATAACGAAAATAATTGCATATTATAAGGGAAGTTTGGCAGATTTGAATAATTCAATTGACCAATTGTGAAAAATTCGTCGGCTGTACTAAAGCCTTCCCTGTTCACGTGGGTTCGAATCCCAAGGAGGCCATGAATATTCCGCAATTGGGTCAATTGAAAACGATTGCAGTTGCAGCAATATACAGCCTGGAAACATAATAGTCCCGGAGATCCTGAAAATCGGCTTAACATTTTTTTTGCAAACACACCGCTAGTATTAGCTGAACAATTTAAAGTTGGCTTTGAAGTCCGAAGTACAATCTGCTTAGTAGACAGAGCGTGAGAAACAGGGGAAACAGACGAAATCTGTTCGGCAAAGAGCCCATAAAAAGTTCACGGGCACATATCTGTGGTAAGTCTAGGCGCGAAGCGCTCCGTCTGCGTGTTACGCATATGAAAACCCAAAAACACT